TCATTGCTACGATAGCTGAGTAATAGGCCCTACATGTTTCCTGAATCGGAATGGCGAACGCCAAAGGAAAACACGAGTCATACCTCTATATAACTGACTGATGTGACGAGTGATAACAGATACACGGCCGAATTTCTGCTCACTAATAATTCCTTCCAAGACCAAAAGTTGTTGTGTGAGACTGTGAGAGGATATCTGACAATTCATGTTTCCTACATGTTTCCTGAATCGGAATGGCGAACGCCAAAGGAAAACACGAGTCATACCTCTATATAACTGACTGATGTGACGAGTGATAACAGATACACGGCCGAATTTCTGCTCACTAATAATTCCTTCCAAGACCAAAAGTTGTTGTGTGAGACTGTGAGAGGATATCTGACAATTCATAAAAAGAATTGACTAAAGAGAACACAAAGAACAACAGAAAAAGTCCGTGCATTACCATGTTTTTATAAGGTATAGAATGAATATAAACAAGGGAATGTACGAATTATTTCTATTTTTCTCGTGTTCTCTTATCTAATGACATTCAATTACTTTATTGAATTGTCGGGTATCCTCTTATATACAGTCCCATATAACAACTTTTGGTCTTCGAAGGAATTATTAGTGAGCAGAATTCGTCCGTGTATCGACTGTTATCACTCGTCACATATCAGTAGGTATGACTCGTGTTTTCCTTTGGCGTTCGTCACTTCCGATTCAGGAAACCTGTATTACTCAGCTATCGTAGCAATGATCTCTGTGTTAAAATTATATTTGGAATGTGTTTAACCAGCTCTATCACATATGTGATAATGACTGGCACCAATATTGTCCTTTAAATTACTCAGATTTGCAGGAGTGCGACAACAGATCACAATTGAATTACTCTAATTACGGACATTACTCGGCAGCCAAGTTGGCAGAATATATATTAATATGGTTATACTGCAAGGAACAGTTACCCAATAATATAATATTTACAGTGTAACAATCAATTTTTCCCCGATAGCATTATCTTGGGAGACTAAAGGGAGACAAGTCAAAAAATGTCTTGCATTGTGAGAAGATTGATGTTTTTGACGTTCATTTCATTTGGTATATACAAAACTTAAACTTACATGCAGTTAAAATCCAGACCTTCCAAATTCATAATATTTCAGATAATCAGGACTTTATCCATAATTTTTCTCAGTGAATTACTATCCAAACTGAATGTGAAAATTTTGTGAAGAAGTAACTTTATAAGTTAATTTCTCAGGATCTTTGTATGAAGATAGATCTATAAGAAAACTCAGTCAAAAACTATTTCAATTTTCTTTCCATAGATTATTTATAAAGAGCTAATTGTTCACTGTATTTTCAATATTTGATATCAGGAGCACATATTTTCATGGTAAGATAACATCACTGGATGGACCAATAATTTGTGTTTATTATGTCGAAGATCCTAGAAAATATTAGAGCTTTGTACCCTTAAAATCTGAGAAATTTCTAATTTTCAAAAAGTCACAACTACTGTAATAGGTTGGGGTGTGTACAAAGCTTCATAAAAAAAAAGAGAGAGAGAGAAATAGGGTTTAATGTCCACTTGACACAAACTAGGTCATTTCGGGACTAACACACATTGTTAAATTTTATTTCAATAATTCGCTTGCGCATATTGGTCTTTAGTAGTGGGAGGAAACTGGAAGACCCAGAGAAAACCCACAAGGTTGGACAGGGGACCCTACTCCTTGTCACGCACAACCGGGGAATCGAAACCATGCCAGTTGATTCAATGATAGACCTTATGATACAGACAGAGTGCACGGGCTAACCATTCAAAGCTTCATAAAGGTATCTTAAACAAAGACAAAACTGGAATAGGAGAACTGATGGAGCCCATGCCAATATCCCTACCTTAAATTTGTTTGGTGCAAGATAACAAATAAATCTAGCATGATTTGAAAGACTTATAAACTGCTCACCTTATACTTATACCTTTTTAAAGTTCAGTCATGGTGAAAAAATATTCTAACACCACTTCTACATTTTCAATTTCTACTAATTGATTGATCAAAAAAAAATTCAAAACAAACAACTAAAAACAAAAAATTTATTCTCCATTTTAAATATAAAAAAAATAATTAAACAGCAGCTTGCTTCATATAAAAACTTTATATAAAATAAAATGGATGACATTTTTCATCAAATAAACATCTTTGGCCTTTATTGCCACTTGACCAAATAAAACTTTTCCTTCCAGTATTTAAGCACATATCTTACATCAAAAACTGACATACACATAATAATTGACTGTTTATAAATTTATAAATCGGAAACTTCACATACCTTTGAATTTCTTAAAAAGTAAAAAGAATCCAAATACATAAGAGAACTAAAACCTATAAAAAAAGTTAACCAATTCATTAATAACTTTAAATTCTGATCATAAGAAACATTCAATATATAAGACCATCGACAAAAATAGGGCCTCATCAACAGTAGACCAACGTTTCGACCACAGAGATTTAACTATGTCTGGTGTTATAGGAACGAATGGATTAAGGTTCAAAACCTCTGTGGCTGAAATGATGGAAGTCAAATGTACAACATTCCTCATAAACAAACACTTCCTCATGCTATATCTTGTCAAAACATTTGAGTCACAGATAGTCATGTTATGTATGACATTATCATATTTGCTATATAGGCACAGGGTATAAAACATTGCCCTCATTTGTTAAGAATGTCTATTATTTTAAAGGGCCAATCCCGATAATATTTAATTTTGGAGAATAAAACTGCATAATTTTGTGTTAAAATCCCCTACCTTAGGGCCAAGCAACTAATTCAACATATGTGATACATTTTCAAACAACTTAAACCTGTCAGTCTTGATCTGGAATTCGAGACCGGTACTCCAAGCTGTATTATGTGGTGTCTGGATAAAACCAGACTTTTATTTTATAAAAATAATGTGTAGGTGAAATTTACCTTTTGCTATCAAATACAGCACATAGGTCATTCATTGTATAGACCTCTAAAGGAACGGAATCGATTATCAGGTCACTCAACAGAAAAATTGACCCGAAATCTTAAAAGGGTTATGACATTCACGTTCAAACGACTCAATGTTTTGAGCTGAAATTTTGAGACATGGTAAATACACCATTCTTCTATATTTGGCACTTAAAATTTCATACGTAGTCATTCTTTTTGAGATAGTCCCTTTAAGTCGAGGTGGATGTTTCTTTTATCATTCAGACTTATGTGAAAGAAGTGTGATACCCCTATGCATCTATTTTTCATATTGTTACTTCCTGTTCAGTCTTGATTTTAAAAAAGATAGGTTGCAGGCAACGAAACATCTGCCCACAGCAGCTAAATCTTCCGAGCGGTCGACAAGGGTTGTCGCATATTTATTCCTTTGTAGGTAATTGGGGGCCTTTACAAGACATTTCCATACAGATCAGATTATAATTTGTTGTTTGAGGGTTCACAAGGTTCTACAAACTGAAACAAGGGCCTCAACTCTGGAAGTAGTCTACAGAAATTGTTGAAATTTGACAGGCTTTTTCGTTTTACTAATTTAAATAATGCATATAAATTTCATGCAGATCGGATGATCACTTTTGACGTTCAAACATTCACAAGGTTCACAAAGTAAAACTAGGGCCATAACTCTAGACATTATTGACGGAATTGCTGAAATTCAATAGACCTCTGTCGCACAAATTTAAATGAAGCATATAAATTTCATACATATCAGATGATAACTTTCATCAATCAAGCATTAACAAGGTTGAACAAGGTGAAACAAGGTCCATAACTTTAGAAGTAATTATTGTAAATTGCTGAAATTCAATAGGCTTCGTGGTTTCACTAATTTAAATAATGCATATAAATTTTACAAAGATCGGATGATAACTTTAGGTGTTCACAAGGTTCAATAAAGTGAAATGAGCCATAATTCTAGATGTAATAAACGGAAATTGCTGAAATTCAATAAGATTGTTCTTTTTACCAACTTAAATGGCACATATAAATTTCATACAGATCGGCAGATAACTTTAGAGGTTAGAGCATTCACAAAGTGCAACAAAGTGAAACAAGCGCAAGAACTCTAGAAGTAATAAACAGAAATTGCTGAAATTCAATAGGATTCTTCTCTTTACTAATTTAAATGATGCATGTAAATTTCATACAGATCGGCAGATAACTGTTGATGTTAAAGCATTCCCAAGGTGCAACAAAGTGAAACAAGGGCCATAACTCTAGAAGTAATTGACAGAAATTGCTGAAATTCAATAGGCTTCTTTGTTTCACTAATTTAAATAACGCATATAAATTTCAGAAAGATCGGATGATAACTTTTGGCGTAATAGCGTTCAATAAGGTGAAACAAGGGCCATAACTCTAGACAATAAACGGAAATTGCTGAAATTCAATAGGTTTCTTCATTTCAATAATCTAAATAATGCATATAAATTTCACTAAGATCGGATGATAACTTTTGACCTAATAGAGTTCACAAGGTTCAACAAAGTGAAACAAGGGCCATACCTCTAGACGTTATGAACAGAAATTATTGAAATTAAAAAGCCTTCTTCATCTCACTAATGTAAACCACATATATCAATTTGAAAACAATCGGATAATACCTTTTGGAGTTAGAGGTTCACAAGAAATTGTGGACGACCGACAGGTACGACGGCAATATATGTCCACATTTCCATGTGGGTGTATAAAAACAGAGCACTTAAATCGCTAATCAAAGGTTTCATAAATCACGTCTGGAATAAGTTCAAGTAATATTTAATGAAAAGAAAACATTTTGTAAAGGAAGCACTACTGTTTGTGTACGTAAATAAAATGTCCAGAAGAAAAACAACATAAAAACTTATTAAATCACCTAGATATAATTGGCAATTTTTTTGAAAATATTCTTAATTAAAATAAAATGAAAGGGGTTTTACACAATAGCCAGAGTCTTTGAAATACTTGAATAAAGACGTTTACAAATAAATTGCTTAATTAAAATACTTTTTTATGAACATGAAATATTTACATATGGTGTAATTATTTATCACACTAACTAGATTCACACTATTTACATAATTGCTTCCTTGTGAGTATTGTTATTAATGATATTAGTTGTGCCTGTGAAAATATCAGGCACTATTTAAGTTGTACCTGACATAGCAATAAAAATACAGAAAAATCTTTGCCGGACAAAATTCTCACCACAAGTCCTAGTGTACATTAAAGATGCATTATGTAAGAGCTAAATCTGCTTATTTCAGGTCTTTTTCTGGCTTCAAATGTTATATAAATATTTAGACATTTATCCACATGACAAGCCTACAATCGGCTCTCTAGACTATCAGATGGCCGAGATTTAAATACCTGCCATTTGAACATTTAATGATTAAATGGAAAATCAAGACGCTACATCTTCAAAGAGTCATAACTTCGCTCAGAATAAAGTTATTTGAATAAAATTTTCAATATGTTCATTTTTCTTTATCTATTATTACAGCGAAAATGCCAGCTCTTTATCTAACTCTTACATAATGCATCTTTACAAAAAACCTGTAATTTAATCTTCAAAATATACATACAGTGATTATTGTACCCATAAACTTCTAGAATATATAATATTATTATTTCTTGTAAAATCAAATTTCATCTCAGCCATTTCATAAAAATAGGGCATTATTACTCTGGGAACACAAGACAAAAAAGCTATATATTATTGTTGTTCATTTGGGTGTCATAGCTTTATTTTCAGTTGTGGCGTTATTTTCAGTTGTCGAGTTATTTCCAGATGCACCGTTATTTTCAGTTGTAGCGTTATTTTGAGTAGTAGTGTTATTTTCATTTGCAGTGTTATTTTTAGTTATTGCGTTAGTTGTATATTCATTTCCTTTCACAGCGTTATTTTTAGTTGCAGTGTTATTTTCAGTTGTTGCGTTATTTACTATTTCCAGCTGTTGTGTTAATTCCAGTTATAGCGTTATTTTCAGTTGTAGCTTTATTTCCAGGTGTGGCATTATTTCCTATTTTCAGCTGTAGTGTTAATTCCTGTTGTAGCATTATTTTCAGATTTGTATTTATTTCTAACCAGGAACATACACGATAGAATCTTGACTTGAACCTGATAAAACATTAGTTGCAGGAAAATCGTCTGGTGTCTCACATGCATAGCCACCATCAATAAGAGCTTGAGCTATGTTTATATCCTGACGTCCAGACGTATCAAAGAGATTGATTTTTAAACTTCCATGCCATGACCTGAAATATATAAACGATTGGAGCAAATCCAGATATATTTCACTGAACAAAACTGGTCAATTCTGTAAAATACAATTCTACAATATTTATAAGAAATACAATCGTCAATTTTTTTTAAAGAACTACAAACAACCAACCAGATTTAATTTTAAGTTAATCAGACAACCTTGTTTTTTAGGTGTTGATAAGATTCTTCAATCTGAGCAAGGGCAATAACTCTAACAGAAATTATTGTAATCTAATAGGCTTCTTCATTATGTGACAGGATGCTTTAGTTGGGAATAGAACCCAAAACCCCAACCATGGAAATCATACACCTCTACTAAGTGAGCTAATGGTAATTCCCAACAACAAAACCAGTAGGAAGCATATAGAACTGAATAATTACTCAAACAGTTAACACACATCACACCTGATACTTATATCCTTGATAAAGCAATGGCACAAGTTACAGACTGATTTCCAAAAAGTATGATCTACACTAGAGCAGGCCCAGTTTCACAAAGCATTCTCAAATTTAAGTTAAGAATTTACTTAATTTTCAATTACTTTTCTGTTTATGAGAAATATCTTTGATCCAGAAACAGAATAATCTGCACATAAGTTTCTTATTGATGTATTTGATACATTAAAACAACAGAAGTTTAATAAAGGACTATATGTTAGTTAAAATAAGGCAAACAATTTTGAGTAAATTCTTAAATTAAGTCTGACAATGTTTTGTGAAACCAGGGCAAAAACACAAGCAGCATTTTACGCCAATATAAACGTGTGTTATTATAGATGCATAATATATAATGTTAGAGCTAAAACGATACAGACTGCGATGTCAAGGTGAAATTACCTTGTAGCACACTGCATGGCGTATGCCCATCTTCATTAGTTAGGGTAGAGAAGTAGGATGTTTAACCTGATTCACTTCATGTTTTATACACTGGTAATGTTACACCAGTTTCATTAATACAAGGTCACACCCATTTACATATAACCTTTAGCAATGTGTAGAATTACAACTTACAACTGAACATTGCCACAACTGCTAGTTGTTGTTCTTAGAGGAGATGTTTTTGAAAAAAGTCTCAGGTTCCACAAATTCATGTACAATCGGCATGAAACTTGACATACTTGTTCCTTGGATATTTAGAATCGACTGATGGACTTAGATTTTTGATAGGACGTCATACTCAGTTTTTTTGCTAACAACTAATTTTTTTTCTTCTTGATCCCATTCTCCTGCATTGTTGACCTTGTTCCTGTTTAATATTGGGAGAATATAATCACAAACAAGTCTTTCAACTTACCGTGATGTAACTTGAGCTACCAGAGTTTTACCATCAACCAGTGAACGAAAATATTCACTACAAGTAAAAAAAATATAAAAATAAACATAGAAATAACTTATATGACAAAGTACAAATTATAAAATAGAGATTAGAGACATTCCCAATTAGTTAAAAAAAAAAAATAAAAAAATAAATCTCAATATCTCCGACTATAAGGAGGAATTGTGGATGAACAGGAGTACAAAAACAGTTAAATATTGGATGTAGTGAATTTGGTAATTACTTCTGTGTCAGACGTCAGCCTGAATAACAAAATTAAATTTTTAACATATACACATATTCCCTTATATAAATCTCACCGAGAGGCGTATGACCACACAGTTTTTCGTTTTGGTAGTTCAACTTCCTCTAGAAAACATTCAACAGCTTGTAGAGGTAGGTGTAGAAACTGTGCTTCTAGTTTACGGATGTTTCTCTCATTTATCCAACTCGTATTCCCAAAATCCACAAAAAATATCTGAAATAGAATATTTAGATTTGCTTAAACTATCAAAATGATAGGTTGCTAGGTAGCTATGTTGTCGACACAGTTCATGGAGGCTATATATTGTTTTGTAAGTACTGGACACATTTACAAGACACTAAAAACTTATCAAAAATAACAACTCATGCAGTAATTATGAGAAATAATTACCAGCGGCTGCCAGGCAGGATACGCCCACATTTTCGTGAGACGGATAGAGAACAAGCTAACAAGAAAGTGATTTTTCCTACAATCAAGGGCCATAATTCAGGAAATTACAATTCGATATGCGCAAATTCAATTGCCATTTTGTCTGTCAATTTTGGGCCGATTTTCACAAAATTCAAACTCAGCTATTCGTAGGGTGTAACGGTGATATAATAATACAGTTTTTTAAATCGGATAAAAATTATGACCTCTATAGGGTCCACAATCTAAAAACGCCATTTTTTTGTACAATCAGGGGCCATAATTCAGGAAGTTACGGTCCGATATGCGCGAATATCGAAAGGGACCGAGATCTTTGGGTTATAAACTTACATTTCAAGTTTCAACAAAATCCGATAAAAATTGTGACCTCTATAGGGTCCACAACCTTGATATACCATATTTTTACACTATTTGAGAAAGAACGGCAGCCATTTTGTCTGTCAATTTTGGGCTGATTTTCACGAAATTCGAACTCAGCTGTCCTTAGGGTGTAACGGTGATATAATAATACGTTTTTTTAAATCGGATAAAAATTATGACCTCTATAGGGTCCACAAGCTAAAAACGCAATTTTTCGTACAATCAGGGGCCATAATTCAGGAAGTGACGGTCCGATATGCGTGAATATCGACAGGAACCAAGATCTTTGGGTTATAAACTTACATTTCAAGTTTCAACAAAATCGGATAAAAATTGTGACCTCTATAGGGTCCACAATCTTGATATACCATATTCTTACGCTATTTGGGAACGAACGGCGGCCATTTTGTCTGTCAATTTTGGTCCAATTTTCACGAAATTCGAACTCAGTCGTCCTTAGGGTGTAACGGTGATATAATAATACGGTTTTTTAAATCGGATAAAAATTATGACCTCTATAGGGTCCACAAGCTAAAAACGTGATTTTCGTACAATCAGGGGCCATAATTCAGGAAGTTACGGTCCGATATGCGCAAATATCGAAAGGAACCAAGATCTTTGGGTTATAAACTTACATTTCAAGTTTCAACAAAATTGGATAAAAATTGTGACCTCTATAGGGTCCACAACCTTGATATACCATATTCTTAAGCTATTTTAGAACGAACGGCGGCCATTTTGTCTGTCAATTTTGGGCCAATTGTCACGAAATTCGAACTCTGTCGTCCTTAGGGTGTAACGATGACATAATAATACTTTTTTTAAATCGGATAAAAATTATGACCTCTATAGGGTTCACAAGCTAAAAACGCGATTTTTCGTACAATCAGGGGCCATAATTCAGGAAGTTACAGTCCGATATGCGCGAATATTGAAAGGAACCGAGATCGTTGGGTTATAAACTTACATTTCAAGTTTCAACAAAATCGGATAAAAATTGTGACCTCTATAAGGGTCCACAAGCTAAAAACATGATTTTTCGTACAAACAGGGGCCATAATCCATGAAGTTTCGATCCGATACATGCCAATATCGAAAGCAGTCGAGATCTTTTGGAGATAAACCTATATTTCAAGTTTCGTCAAAATCGGATAAGAATTGTGACCTGTAGAGTGTCCACAAACAAATTGTGGACGTACGTCCGGATGGACAGGGGCGACGGCATAGTACGTCCACATGAAAATGTGGGCATATAAAAACTTAACTGGCTTCTAGTTCTTTCTAGTGCTAACATTTTAATACATTATTTGTACTAAATATCTATTAGAAGCCTCGTTGAAACGTCATCAGAAATAATGATATGTATTCCATATAATTGTGTTATTCTCACTCAGTAAATGCCACTTAAACAATTTATCTTTAAAGTATTTATAACTGTATCTTTAAAGTATTTACAACTGTATCTTTAAAGTATTTATAACTTTATAAAGGGGTAGTATACATGGAATAAACGAGTTAAATCTATAATTTTATTTATTAACCTTGACTCGTTCATCTTCTGGATTTGTATCAATAACTTTCCCACGATACCATTTGTTGTCATGGCCCTGTACAGCTACAGCTTGTCCGGCAGCATATACTAATAGATCATGTTGAGATCCACCTCGCCGGTAAATACTACTGTAAATGCAAGGGAATAGTATTTCACACGATATAGGGTGATGATACAACAGGTTTAGAATTAGATGCAAATGAAATACTTTAAACAATGTCTGGAATATGTGAAAAAATTGTACCAAAATTAACAAAATAAACAGTAACAAAATATTTACTGGGGATAACATTATCTTTGAAAAAAAAAACTGTGTAGAAGTTAAATTACAACCAATCATCTTCTACTACAATGGAATCTGAGATTTTCTTTAAAAGAACTGTTGAAAACACATGGAATTATTAGCTGATTAAATTGAAACACAGACGTCTGTTTTGTGGTGAATTATGATAATCTGTAAATTCAGTTGCGTGTAGGGCCATAGTATGTCTTATTGGCCAGTCAAATTGCCTATAATGGTATACACTATACAGAGATGCATTTTGTGGTAAAGTATGGTATTCTGAAAGCCCAAGTGTATTTTCAAGTGATTCTGTTGGGTATAGACTCCGAGTATGAAGGACTAACACAAATAGAATGATCACTGACTGAATGTGGTTGTGATAGAAAAGTCTATCATATTATAATACGTCGATTCCGAATCGTCTGGCCACTCACTCTCACACCAGTGTCTGTTTGAAGACGAGCGCTGATCTGATTTGCTGTGATGACACGATTTCTCAAGGCCAAGGTACGGATAAATCGATCCTGGGCTTGAGTTGTCGCCCTTGGTCGACCTGAGCGTGGTCTGTCCTGTACAGATTGTGTATCACGGTATCTGGACCATAGCCTGCTTATGACAGACTGAGAAACATTCATCGTCCGCACCACAACCGCCTGTGTTGTGCCGATCTGTAGCATGCCAAGGGCATGTAACCTTTCATTTTGGGTAAGCCGACGCATATCAAAATTTGTTTTCTGGTCACTAAAACAATTAAACTGATGTTTCCACCCTGGAATTCAATGCCACAATGACTGTAACATTCAAAGTCAGAGTCGTGCAAATCTTGGGTTGGACCCCCATGATGATCCCAAGCATCACCTGCATTCCATGCGGTAGCTATTGGTGCGTTTGGGCGTCACATGTAACTGGAAATGTTTCTTCTGTTAGGTTCTATAGTGACTTTTTTCGTAGTCATTTGCATATTTTAGTATTATGCCCCCAAAATCAAATATCCCCTACTTTTTTTGAATAGTATATATGGTCAATCTGTATTTATGTACCCTGTGTAATGATTCAACGTTTGTACATAGTCCACTATATAATTATATACTAACTTTAATGATTTCTGTAAATCTTCTAAATTTTCCTCTGCTTCACGATAAGCTCCCTTATCTAGAAATAACATTAACAATTCACAAAATGATAGGTTGCCAGGCAATGAAACATACGGCCACTAGGAAACAACCATAAAGAATGTTGCCGTTGTTGTTTATTACTTATTTAAAGGAGCTAAATCGCTAATATTTTGGACCTAGAAATTGGCACAAATGGGTCGCAACACATATAATAATGTAATATGAATTTATATAAACTGTTTTACATTCAATCGTGTCTGTTTTACTGTGAATTGTCATCAGTTATGTTTGGCGAAATACGCCAGAAGTCTCAACCGCAAGTCAGTTTCTAGCGTCTGGTTATTCCAGTCAACACCGATATTATTTATTGCGCATGCTCTCAAAATAAGAATATGATATCACCGTTTGACATGACTTGTGGAATATGTCTAGCCTCATTCTTTCAGCACCTTGTTACAAATGGCGCTGAAACATGGTAAACATGGTAAAATGTTTATTTTGTCTTAAATATTGGATATCAGAAGCTCATCTTTTCCAGGTAAGATCACAACACCAATGCTGTAAAAATTCGCGTTTTCAATGTCGATGATTTGGGATGATAGAGTTACGGACTTAGCTACTTTAATGTCCAATACATTATAATATGATATTATGGAAAGGTTGATTTAATTAAGCTATTTACATATCACAGGCCAAGATGTATTATAAAATAAAAAGAAAATGGGTAAAAACATAAAATAAGTTCTTGTATATCAAAAAATCACTTTAAAACAGGGTGTTAAAATCATTGTCATGAGAAGAGAGGGCAAGTCACCTTCTCTCTTTGTCATGATAAACACAAGTTAAAACAGGAGGTCTAGCTGATTGGTGTTATCAGTGCGGATAGAAAAAAAAAGATAGGTTGCCAGGCAACGAAACATACGCCCACAGCAACTAAATCGTCCGGGCAGTCAACAAGGGTTGTCGCATATTTTTACTTTTTTCGGTAATGAAACATTTATAATACACTAAAATCTGATTAAGAGCAACAACTCACGAAGTAATTATCAGAAAACTATTAGAATTTGTTTGGTTTTTATAAAGTTCTGCCCCATGCTAACGTTTTGTATGCAAAGCTTTTAATATCATAGATTTAACTGTTCAAGTCATAAAAATTCATTGAAAATCAATATACTTGTTCGTCTCAAGATCTTAAACTCTGTGTATCAATCTGAAGTCAATCGGATGATAACTTAGGGGCCATAACTTTGGCAGTAATTATCGGAAATCATTGAAAATCAATAGGAATCTTCGTCTCATGACCTCAAACACTGTGTATAAATTTAAACTCAATCGGATATTAACTTGAGCCTCAAGAGCATCCACAAGATTTTTTGAAGTGATCAAGGGCTATAACTCTGGCAGTAATTATCGGAAATCGCTGAAAATCAATAGGCTTATTCGTCTCATGACCTTAAACACTGTGTATAAATTGAAAGTCAATCGGATATTAACTTTGGCCTCTAGAGCATCCACAAGATTTTTCAAAGTGATCAAGGGCCATAACTCTGGCAGCAAATATTGGAAATCGCTGAAAATCAATAGGCTTCTTCGTCTCATGACCTCAAACACTGTGTATAAATTTAAGGTCAATTGGATATTAACTTTGGCCTCTAGAGCGTCCACAAGATTTTTCAAAGTGATCAAGGGCCATAACTCTGGCAGTAATTATCGGAAATCGCTGAAAATCAATAGGCTTCTTCGTCTCAAGACCTTAAACACTGTGTATAAATTTAAAGTCAATCAGATATTAACTTTCGCCTCTAGAGCAACCACAAGCAATTGTGGACGCCGGACGGACGGACGGACGGGGGCGACGACAATATACGACCACATTTCAATGTGGGCGTATAAAAACCATGGGGAAAGAGAATTGTGCTTGCTATATAAAGAAAAGCAAAGTTCTCGCAGTAAAAACCAAATAAATAAAGGATTTCACATTTTTGTTCTTTTATAGATAATGGATCTAGGGCAACAATCTATCAAGTAATTACCACAAATATTTAAAATTTTATAAGTTCCCAGTTTTTCCTAGTGCTTACATAAACATAACCAACATGAACCTGCACTGGTAGAAATTATTTCGGGTTAATCTGGCACAGAAATGATAAAAGTTAGGCCATACAAAAAAAATATATTGTGGTTCTCAGACAATCTGATGGGGGAGCTTTTTTTTCAATTTTTAATTTTTTGTTTTATAATTGGCTAAATTACTTCTGATACACATCAAATTTCAAGGCACTATATAGAAAGAAAAGAAAGAAATGGGGTTTAATGTCCACTCGACACAAACTAGGTCATTTCTCATTTCGGGACTAACATATGGTTCAATTTTATTTCAATAATTTACTAGCGAGTATGGGGTTTTTAGCAGTAGAAGAAAAACCGAGAAAACCCACGAGGTTGGACAGGCGACCCTACTCCTTGTCAAGTACAACCTGGGAATCATAATCACACCAGTAGACTCAATGACAGACCTTATGATACAATGCACATACGCTAACCATTCTGCCATCCAACCCCTCCATTTATCTTATAATGTTGTTTATTAGAATGTTTGATTATCCAGTATGATTTATGATTATCAGTAACATTTATCTGGGTTGAGTACAATGTTCTTAATCAGCTGTTTTTTGTCGGCTTTAGACGATTGATGTTTATCACGCCGATTAATAATACGATGAATCGGCCACTATGGTATCATAAATCAATCTACTTTTGGCTAAATTACAAAGGGTTAATAAGTACTTGTTAATTTAAAAGTCAATCAACTTGTTTGTCGGCTATTGAGAATCGGCCATGCGGTTCAAATCCGAGTAGCCTAATTAGCACACTGATTTAACAGTAATTTTGATAATCCGATAAAAAAACAAAATAAGTTTGCTGATTATTCATAACAGTTTCAGCAAGCTACCTTTGTAAAAATAAGCCATGTGGTGAAAGAAGACGATCTCGGCATGGTTTGCGAATCATGCGTCTTTGACATTGCGTATGAATTCCAGGTACCAGACACAGGCAGATATTAAAATAATAACTGGATCATACATTGATGGATTCACTGACCAGTTGTTAGGTAAATTTAAATCTTCATTGAATATAATCCCCTGATAGAACATATTTTCCAGACAGAATCTCCAATGTGAAATTCCGATGACACATGTCATCAGTTGGAATTAGGTCAAGACCAGTTTTAAATAGCATTTACCATAATGATTTTTTATTTTATACACTTGCAGACAGGGGTTAATTTTAAAAAATATTGTCGTTATTGAAGTCTTTATTTTATTTTATAGCAATTCTAATTATGGTTATCATGTGATCATTGTCACTGTAACCCAGGTATCATTTAATCTTGTGTATCTAGCACTAATTTCTTTCACATTCGTTTAATATCAAATCTTTGTTTAAAAATTCGTAAAAACTGTTTAAAATCACCCAAAATCTTCTAATTTGTATATGTGTCCAGTTTAAAGCTGACTGGTTAATTTTGATAATGAGTGTCCAATTTACAAGTATTTAATTTCCTGACCACTGTTCAAAAATTAATCATTATACATCATTAATCAATTGGGTTGTTTATTTTTTAACAGTGGTTAAGAAATTAAATACTTGTAAATTGGACACTCATCAAAATTGAATGGTTAGCTTTAAACTGGACAGAAGTACAAATTAAACGATTTATGGTGATTTTAAACAGTTTTTACAAATTTTTAAACAAAGATTGTATATTAAACATATGTGAAAGAAATTAGTGCTAGATACACAAGATTAAATGATACCTGGGTTACAGTGTGTGCTATTTGTCTAGTATCATTGACAAATGAATAAAAACTTTTGCAAGTTATATGATAGATCAACTGATGAAACATGATCGTCTCATCAAATAAACGAAGACAGCAATTTATTCAAGAATATTACTTTAAGCTGGTATGTGAATTAAATAAGGAAAAACATTACCAAGAATTATTTTTGTTGAAGTCTAGTTATATTAAAGAGAATGGAAGCTTATGATTAACCCATTTCCTACCGGGATCTCATTTGACCCAATTCTGGCCAGTTTGTTTCAAAATGGATTAAGTACTTGATAAATTATGGATTCTTCAATTTTTTTTTTTTAGCGATTATATTTCCTGTAAACATTGTTAAAATATTTATGTGCGGTAATTAATGAGACTATTTTCATATTTTTAAAATTAGAACAGGTCATGCGTCTTGTTTTTTAAGTGATGCAAAAATTAACTAAGAACCAAAATAATCTTTTTTATATGGCCTTATATGAGGATGCGAGAGGGAGAGATAAATGGGGTTCAATGTCCACTTGTCACAAACTAGGTTATTTCGGGACTAACATATGGTTCAATTTTATTTCAATAATACCCTTGCAGTGGGAGGAAACCGGAGGACCCGGAGAAAACCCACGAGGTTGGACAGAAATGAGGATGCATGGTGGAAACTAAAACCGTTTTACTTTACGCCACTTATACCTTTTTGTGTCTGAAGATAATCTAGAGTTACTTTTCCATAAGGTAGTAGAACGTAGAAATGTCGTGGACTAATGATGGTAGAAACAACCACAACAACTAATGTGTCAACTTCTGGTAATATTTCACTCTGATCTTCATTCCAAACAAATACAGCCTCTTTATCTTGAGTTATCACTAAACAAAATATATATAAAAATATGTACAGAGGCATTATTATTAGCCCTTTTGAGGTCTTAAGAGTTTAGACTTTTGTTAAAAATATGTACAGAGGCATTATTATTAGCCCTTTAGAGGTCATAAGAGTTTAAACTTTTGTTAAAGATAGGTTGCCAGGCAACGAAACATACGCCCACAGCAGCTAAATCGTCCGGGCAGTCAACAAGAGTTGTCGCATATTTTTAATTTTCGGTAATGAAACATTTATAATACACTAAAATCTAATTATAAATATAAAGTCAATCGGATATTAACTTTGGCCTCTAGAGTGTCCACAAGATTTTTCAAAGTGATCAAGGGCCATAACTCTGGCAGTAATTATCGGAAATCGCTGAAAATCAAAAGGCTTCTTCGTCTCTTGACCTTAAACACTGTGTATAAATTTAAAGTCAATCGGATATTAACTTTGACCTCTAGATTTTTCAAAGTGATTAAGGGCCATAACTCTGGCAGTAATTATCGGAAATCGCTGAAAATCAATAGCCTTCTTCGTCTCATGACCTTAAACACTGTGTATAAATTTAAAGTTAATCGGATATTAACTTTGGCCTTTAGAGCGTCCACAAGATTTTTTGAAGTGATCAAGGGCCAAAACTCTGGCAGTAATTATCGGAAATTACTAAAAATCAATTGGCTTCTTCATCTCATGACCTTAAACACTGTGTATGAATTTAAAGCCAATCGGATATTAATTTTGGCCTGTAGAGCGTTCACAAGATTTTTTGAAGTGATCAAGGGCCATAACTCTGTCAGTAATTATTGGAAATCGCTGAAAAACGTTAGGCTTCATCGTCTCATGACCTTAAACACTGTGTATAAATTTAAGATCAATCGGATATTAACTTTGGCCTCTAGAGCGTCCACAAGCAATTGTGGACGCCGGACCGCCGGACGGATGGGCGTATAAAAATATGTACAGAGGCATTATTATTAGCTCTTTAGAGATCTTAGAGTTTAGACGGTTGGTAACTTTTTTTAATGTGATTTGACATGTTACATCGGTCAATATAAGCAAAATATGAGACCAATCTGCCAATTACTAAAGTATACTTTCAAAATAGTTTTGCAAGTGGTTTTCAAGGTTGGTTCAAACCAGCTGTTACCATGCAAGATCTGCCCACATTTTGCAAGAGATCAACGCCGGATTAATCATGGTGGGGTCCTGGGGCCTGGAACATGTGGGGGGCCTTGATCACCGACCGCGGAGCTGTGGCCCGGCAGAGCCGGCCAATGCGAGCGCTGAAAGCGCGAAGACATGTAAGGGGGGTTGGGGGTCTCCCCCCCAGGAAATTTTCAGAAATTGGAGGCCGGAAACATGATTTCCTGGCATTTCAGGTACCTCCCCCAGAAAAAAATAAATTTCTGTCACAAAATTAGCGCATTCTGGCGTTATTTCAGTGGACCAATCCATGCGAGTGCTATGAAATAATGGCATTTCTAGAGGTGGCGGTTGGAGCCCATTGAGCCCGTTAAATCCGCCACTGTAAGTGAGCAGAGGTACATCAAACCTAACTTTGAAGTCGCTCAGTGATAAATAACGGGGTCACTTGATTCGGAATTGTATTATATCCCCCACGATGATTTGATGAATGGAGCCGGACTCGATTTTTGACGAACGTCTAACACTGTAAGTACGAAATGATAATACAAGATTTAATCAAGAAATCTGAATATTTCGTGTGATCATGATGTGCATCTCATCAAATTCAGCTTATAACCACAACAAATATCAACAACAACAACAACTCTGTGCTACGGTTACACATGGGTTCTGGCTGTGTACATATAATTTGAAGAAACTATTGAAACAAAATGAGAGCAGAAATTCAACCACGTACAAGGCAGTACTCTCATTAGAATTTGACAATTCACCGGTAAATAGCATTGAATTCCAGCGAACCACTCAGAAAACATCTCGGAGCATCGGAGGGACCCCGTCACTAGGTCACCGGCCGTTGGAGTCCTCGGTCCGACCATGCTCGAGCACGCAACTGAGATTTTTGTGGTGGGCCCTCTAATGTGGGGGGCCCTGGGGCCTGGGCCCCATGGTTAATCTGGCGTTGCAAGAGAAGGACAGAGAACGCGCTAATCATCGAAGTTACAGTCCGAAAGTCGCGATTATTTACAGGAACCAAAATCTTTAGAGTTATAAACATGCATTTCAAGTTTCATCAAAATCAGATAAAAATTGTGACCTCTAGAGTGTTCACAAGCTAATAATCTCTGAAGTTACGGTCCGATATATCCCAATTTCGAAAGGCACCAAGATCCTTGGGTAATAAACCTATATTTCAAAATTCGTCAAAATTGGTTAAAATTGTGACTTGTAGAGTGTCCACAAATAAATTGTGGACGGACGGATTTACAGGGTCGACGACAATATACGTCCACATGAAATATGTCTTTGTAAGTCAGCACTTTGATTTTCCATAATTAGGGAAGTCAAGTCTCTAGATATTTTGAATATGATATTATTATTTATTTCGGAAGCATGCTAGGGCATCTTTATAGCCAATCTCTAGTATCTATAAGAAACATGTCTGACATTCAGCAGAGCTAATTAGCTTTGTAACAATACTGAACTTTTTTATGGGATGACAAATGGCAATACATGAGCTATCTATTGTACGTCCTTATCCGAATAAGGCATCTGGCACAGACATTTGCAGTCATAATTTTCAGGCTTTGACATTTTGTCTGGAAAAGATCTGTCTTTTATCAGTGTTTTTGATAAAGTTCAAAATATGAGTAGTCGCTAACATTTTGTCAGCGCATTTATAACTGTTATTTTCTGACCAGATTTTAAAGACCAGGGCCCTTATTCACGAAAACTTAAACTAAGATACAATCGAAATTTTAAGAAATACTGCAATTCGATTGGCTGACCAGTAAAATCAATTTGCATATATCCAATTAGCATATTGGTCAGCCAATGGAATTGCTGTATTTCTTAAAATTTCGATTGTATCTTAGTTTAAGTTTTCGTGAATAAGGGCCCAGATATTTCCTGAAACTAGCACATCAGAACATATGATTACTACATGTATATATTATACCCAGAAAGAAAATGAAATGAAATGAAATGGGGTTTAACATCCTACTGTTCTGCTCCGAACTGGGCTAATAAAGACGGACATACGCCATACAGTGTGCTATGAGGGAAATTTTGCCCGAACAGCGATACTACTGCCTACTCTTATACAGAATTCCAACTGTCAAGGGATTTTTTACGTGCATGCCAATGTGTACACAGGACCTCGCTTTTTTCATCCCATCCGAATGACTAGACAGCTGTCCTTGTCAGGCCATCTGTCCTGCATCACTGACAAGGGGGAACCACACCGGAAAATCTGGATGAACTTTCTCGGCCAATGCAGGGATCAAACAACTGACCTCCAGACTAGTAAGTCAGGAGCCAGCATCTTTCGCACTTAGCCACATGACCCCCGTGCAGAGAAAGAACTGAGTCAGCTGAAAACTTCCAATTGTATTATCAAAAGGATTTTACGATTGAATATTTAAAGGGCATCATCTCCTACCATCCGTTTTCTTTATATGTAAATATGGACAGCGATCACCACGCCAACATTCACCAGGTGTATTATACCATCGACATATTCTTCTGTCATCTTTAGCATCTAAAAATATAAACATTAACATCATGAAAGATGAGTTGACAGGCAACAATACTAACAACCAAAGTCCTCCAAACAACCTGCCTGTGTAAATGGGACCTAGTTCTTTTGTCCCATCCAAACAACTTGATGCTGGTCCTTGCTTGGCTCTCCGTCTTGCACAACTCATGGGGAAACCACAATAGAAAATCTTGAGGATCTTTCTTGGCCAACACCGGGATTGAACATGGGACCTCCTGTGGCTCCCCATTATTCTAGCAGTAATGATTAAAAATTGCTGAAACAAAGGATATGTGCTGCTAGGTTATTCAGAAGATTCTACAGGACGTTAATGCTAGAAGTAATTAACCAAAACAAGCCGGCAGTGAAGCTGATGTTTCTCCCACCACAATCCTAAAATAAACAGATGAGAGAGAGAGAAATGGCTTTAACGTCTAATTGACACAAACTAAGTAATTTCGGGACTAACATATGGTTCAATTTTATTTCAATAATTCTCTGGAGCGTATGTGTCTTTAGCAGTGAAAGGAACCTGGAGGACCAGGAGAAAACCCATGAGGTTGGACAGGCGACCTTACTCCTTGTCACATACAACCGTCAAATTGAAACTATGCCAGTTGACACTATGACAGACCTTATGATACAACGCGCATGCGCTAACCATTCAGTCATCCAACTCCCCAGTTAAACAGGTTGGTAGTGAAACAAAACAGTGGCTCAATTTGCTAAATGCTAAAACACATCAGGCTTGATTAAATCACACTTACATTTGATACCCAAATCCAGTAGTGCTATTCATTGTAAGTGTTAAAATAGTATTATATTTTATTCACATGTCACTATACAAATTGTTAACATAATTCATATAAACAGTTATATAAAAGTAAAATGTGGATAGATGCAAGCCGAAATTGATATGAAATGGGGTTTAACGTCCTACTGTTCTGCTCCGAAATGGGCTAATGAAGACGAAATACGCCATACAATGTGCTATGAGGGAAATTTTGCCCGGACAGCGGCACTACGGCCTACTCTTATACCGAATTCCAACTGTCAAGGGATCTTTTATGTGCACACCAATGTTCGTCCAAATCCGAACGACTAGACAGTTGTCCTTGTCAGACCCTCCGTTCTGCATCACTGACAAGGGAGAACCACGCCGGAATATCTGGATGAACTTTCTCGGCCAATGCAGGGAAATAACAACTTAAGAAACACGAGTACATAAGTGATCTCGGTTTTAAAATAAGTATATAATTGATCTCTAAGCATCAAGTACATAATTGATCTCCGTTTAGGCGTTAAGTACTTAAGTGACAGTTGTTTAAGTTACATATATACAGGTACATAAACTAAAATATAGATGCAAGCCAATAACAACTTAAGAAACCCAAGTACATAACAGGTCTCCATTTGGGCGTTAAGTACTTGAGTGACTGCTGTTTAAGCATTAAGTACATCTGTGTTCTCTGTTTAAGCTTAAGTGATGTACATAGTTTTAATATGAAATAAAATGATATGAAATGAAATGCAATTTAACGTCTTATTCTTCTGCTCCAACTGGACTAATGAAGATGGGGATGAAATAAAAACAGCAGAGGATATAGGTATCGGCTATATAGACCAATGGAAACAAACAACCATAATTGGCATCTAAGTGTGGTAATGGTTAATAGGTGATAATTCTCATGATCAATGTTTTTTAGGGGAATATGGGATGGTACTTGTTATTAATGTTTTTTGTAGTTTAAAAATAAAAAAATACTAATAAACTGTCAAATGTAATGATTCTTATTAGTGAACATATATAGAGTTAGTCTAGGGCAGTGATGGGATTTTGCCCGTATATTCCGGACTTGTCCGAATCTTTTTTCCAAACGCCCAAAATTGTCCGGCCGGGAATATGCCCAATCGGACATCAAGACATGGTGAATAATATTCAAAATTCTGAAAGTAATAGTTTACTGATTGTATAACTACCACTCAACCCGATTATCGTCGATAATACGCTGGATTGATTAGGTAATTAAGTGATCAACGTATTTATCGTTTTATACCGTCTATAAATAACCTACCTTGATTAACTACTTAATCTGCCTTGATTGACCGACTTAATCCTTTGTCGGACAGTTCATCAATCTAGTCGTAAACAGAAGTCATTGTTTTCCCTTTGTTGGAATATTCATCAATCCAATAACTGATTATAATTTTAATCCTTGTGTTAACCTCGTAGTTTCGGCATTGTCGGACATATTAATCGCATTGATGTGAGCCGAGTCAGCCGACAATATGTATAAACTATAGATGTCACATATTGTAATAGACATTAATAGACAGTCATTATAACTTTCAACATGCTTCGATTCAATATACATTGTATCCGATAACTTGTCTGTGACATTCGTTTGGTGGAAGCCAAAGTTAAATAAAGCTATTTCACACACACGCATGGTTCTAGTAAAGTAACTCAAAATGAAAGTAGTCATCTCGCGAGACACGTGAAATTAAGAGATTTAAACGTACCGAATCTAATACGTGGGGTTATGTTTTTAAATAAATAAATAAACACGCTAAGAAATGTTGACGACTATGTCGATTGGAATAAGGTTAGTTAAATGTTTTAGTAAAGTAACTCAAAATGAAAGTAGTCATCTCGCGAGACACGTGAAATTAAGAGATTTAAACGTGCCGAATCAAATACGCCTGATGTGAGAGAAAAGATTCTATTTTCACGGTAACATGCATAGTGTGTAGAACCTATCTCTAAGCATTGACTAAATGGCCTATGTGTTAGAATATCTATATATGAAGTAGAAAGGGTTCATTGTGGTTACTATTCATGGAAATTCGTGAGAAATATACGTGTTGTCAGTAGTCGCTTAAACCCGTCAGTATTTGTACCGTACGTCAGTATTCCTATAAATGGTCAGTAATAATCATAAGGTGAGTATTTAAATCAATTGGTTAGTATTCCTTACTTGTGTCAGTATGTAAAAATAACGTGAGTAATTAAACAAACGTGAGTTAAGCCGATCATATCACTAGTCAGGCGCGTGCGGGAGAAATTGACAAAAGCGTGACTAATTAAGAAACCGTCACTATTTGAGGTCTACGTCACTATCAGAGTGAAACCGCCAGTTATCTTTGATGTGCGTCAGTAACTGGACCCGACGCCAGTAGAGCGTGAAATCGTTAACTATATAAATTTCTGGTAAGTATTGTTAGTGAGTATCGTCGCTACATTCTGAATAAATTATTAATTAATTATTTACTAATATTCTCGAATCGGGAAATGTTTTTAAACAATAATGGATGGCAGCCAACACTAGGAGTATTTGTCGGCGATTTCGATTACCGCCGTAGTCTGCAGAATACGGAGCAATGTGAAGTGTTATTCAATTTATAATTTATATTTATTCTCGTTATATAACATGCGGATTGGCACATGTTTTGAGACTTGCGGCACTTTGATATCTGTATGGATTAAATTTGGAATCACTGTATGGATTAAATTTGGAATCATTGTATGGATTAAATTTGGAATCACAACTAATGGTTAAAAAAAGATCAACACAAATCTGTTTTCACTAATTTTATTGAAACAGATAATATGATAGCAGATAACAGAAATAATGAATTTCATATACATACATAAAAGCTGAAATTCTGAGCACCGAAGAATCATGTGAATATCTATATACATTATTATTGGTATCTTCAGATTTGCAACATATTACAAACCGATTCCTGTTTTAAAAAAAACAAAACAACCAATATAATTCAAACGTCAACCCGACCATTTCAAAAATAATTGTCCGTGTCAAGACGACTGCAATTTAATTGCTTTATTTACAAAGATAACTGATAGGGTTCATATTGGAAATATTTTGGTGTCAAGGCAACTGGAGCTCGGTTGCTTTATTTAAAAAGATAACTAATATTAAACTATAAAATTGACTGAGCTATATCCGTTTGAGGTTTTTTGAGGAAAAGCAAGTTAAAGATATCGTTATGTTCTAAAAAAAAATCACATAGCAACCACGCCATATATTTGTTAATTTTTGTTTAATATTTCTCTCGGTGTTAAAATTTAGAACGGAAGAGAACAGTCCATACATTAGTAATGTAGGTCTTGTATATTAAACTTTTATGGGAATATTTTTTTTTAATCTCACCACTTAGTTAGCACCTTGGTGTTATATCAGGAGATTAAGAATGTTGATTGGGTAATCGAGCTAAACGTATCTTCTGTGACCTTCGTAACACGACTCAATTAAAATAAGGTTTTGCGTGTACGATAGTTCTACTTTTATTTTCAGGTACCGGAATGGTATTAGAATCCGAACCCCAGATAGGGTAATGAACGTAGCCATGATACCACAATGAGCCGAGCCGGGTTTCTGGACCGAACATTTCAAAGTATTGTATGGGTTTTAAAACTCGTTTGTATTCGTTAAAATTGGGATTATCGGTAATTCATAAACTAGAGATTCACGGCTTCACAACGATGCCAAGTATTACTTAAGGAGACTGATCGGTCGGCCCTCTGCATTATCTATTTTTGAAATATAGTAAGAATGGCCAGATCTTTATCTTAATCTTAGTATTGAACATGCTTTACGTTTCAATATTCCAAACCCACTGGTTTATGGCTATCTTCAAATTTTGTGGTTTAGTTAACAGGAATAAGAGATGAGAGGAACGAGACAAAACAGATACAGGTAGACGAGGAGATAAAAATGCTTTTGATAGAGCGCAGCCATTGCTCCGATGATGGTAATGTTTACGAGGAAAAGATTGTCACAACAATGAAAACGCAAGAAATGAAATGAGGCTTAATGATCTGGGCTTATGAAGACTGTCAGATGCCATACAGTGTGGTGGTACTATGGCCTACTCTTATATTGAATTCCAACTGCCAATTGACCTTTTATGTGCACGCCAATGTATGCACAGGATCTTGTTTTGTTGTCGCCCCCGAAGGACAAGACAGCCGTCCTTGTCACGCCCTCCGTCCTACACCACTGATAAGGGGAAACCACGCCGGTAAATCCAGATGAACTTTCTCGACCTATGCAGGGATCGAACACGCGACCTCCTTCCTGTCTAGCGAGCCAGCGTCTTTATTTTTATCTTACCCACTTAGCCACCATGGCTCTCCGAAACATACAGGAGCGAGTTTACGAACAAGTGTAGTAGAAGTAAAACGGTGATTTATTTTGTGGAAGAGTTGCAAAATTGATTACAGCTCAAAGGAAACTAAAATTTTGTAATGTGGATTTGGTATCGTTTTACTATTATGTAAGAAAAGAAAATATGAATTCAAAGAACTATATCAACTTTCGTTTTTATCCGCGCCTCTCTTGCACGCGTACCAAGATGATAAATTGTGGAAACTCTCTCTCCCTCTCTGGATAGCCATAACGTGGATGTGTATGCTGTGGCGGTCTTCATTTGATTTTATGAATTGTTTTTATTGAATGAATGATGTTTTCAAAAGGTAATATAATTTACTGCCAACCCGTCAGGTAGCACATGTTTGTGCGTAGAACGTTTGGCAGTTCAGTTTATGATTTTTTGTATTTAAATCTTTAATAATTATTCTTTTAAAGTAAGTAAAATAAAGTGCCAAACGAACAATTTGTTACCCCGTCGGGTAACGCATTCATGCATAGAACATTTGGCATTGTATATTATACCATATAATATGTTATTACTATTTTCATTGTTATAAATATATTTTAAAAATTGTTATAAAAGCTAATTTCTCAAAGGTAAAAAGATATTCACATGACTATTCTGTTCTCATAATTTCAGCTTACATATTTGTTTCAGTAAAGGCAGTGAAAATATATTTACTTTGTTCTTTCTTAACCATTAGGTGTCATTCCAAATTGAATTCATACAGATATCAAAACATAATCAAGAGGCTAAACTCGATTACCCAATCAACATTCTTAATCTCCTGATATAACACCAAGGTGCTAATTGACCTTTCCGTCAGAGACCTGTAGCTCCTCCCACTTTTTATAATGACGTCACCTTAGACAACATTGACGCGCCTTAGACATAAACAAGCATGCAATGGCTGAACAACATTCAATCTTGTGCCAATCTTTTGGACTTTCCTGCTAATTTTTTGGAATATTTTTGAAAGAGAGGTGTATTGTTAGTTTGAAGTAAAGAAGCAGTGCCCCGGGAACTATAATGAAGGATATTTTCTTGACGCGAACCTGTTTTAGGCGATTGACACATCAAGCATCAATCAATGTGTCACTGAAGTCTGAACTGGCAAGAGATTGAACGAGAATCCATATTTATTTCGTTTAAAGGAAGTAACAGACTAACATTGTTGCTGCCAGACTGGGTAAGCAAATTCTATTTGTTTATTATCACTTATGTCGAAAAATGTAAGCATGGTTGAGTTAATAAAAGTGACTGAAGCGTAATGAGGAAGGGGGGGGGGGCATATAATACAACGTATGCCATTCTGCGGTCCTGCAACTTTTAAATTAATAAGGATCATCATAGTTGTTTAGCATAGTCTGGTCTGGATTTGATATAAATTTAGAGAAAACCAAGGTTGACTATAGGTACTTCTGTAGATTGAAAGGCCTAAAGGCCTAGTAGGCCATCCTAAACACAAAGTTACGTTACTGTCGTGACTTGTAATAATTACTATTACTATATAGTGAAATACCAAAACTTTAGGCAGCGAATATATACACGTTTTATAACTGGGTCAGTTGTATGTCTATAATTATAATAGGCCAGGCCACCCCATATTATGTTCCTTTCAACTAGAAAAATAGAGAAAACATGCCAAGATTTTCTTTTTATCATGATGATTTAATTTGTAGGATGTGAGGCTAATGCTCCCTTGCTGTCGGGCATGTGATTGAACTCCCTACACTGGCAAATGACGGGGTTCAGTTTTTTCCCCCATGTACATCACTAACACAACAATGAAGAAACGCCAAGACTAAGAGGTGACAAGAATGATCCCGTTGCATTAATCCGCATCCACATTAACAACACAATTTTATATTTCATGAAAGAATACACTTCAAGATAGTAGATACCGGTAAGTAATATTGTTTATTTAAAAATACATGTAAAGTGTTTAAGCTACATCTAAATGACTAGATATAATTATGCAAACAGTTTTACAATGTATGTTCTGAACCAAAAGGCGACTGGCCTTGCAGAGAGTAAAATCACATGTTAAATTTCTTTGTACGTTTTTTGTTAATTCTTGGTATTTTTTTTCTTCATCAGGAATGTAACTGTAAAAGAATAAAGAAGTAATAAGCTTAAAGACTGATGATAAAATGTACACATAATTAATAATGTGGTGTGTTTATATAGACCTAAAGTGAATTTTACATATTTTTGACGTAATATTTACAAGATGTAAGCTTATCCATTGAAATTGCAGTATGATTCCACCTAAATGACACCAGCATCAAAAATCAAAACATGCTATTTCATATCAGAGTTTTTAAATGAACCTCACCAAATTTGGGTCATGAAATTAAATGCTGAATATTTAGGCCTACCCTGAAATTTCACCTTAATATGACTAGCAAGACAAAACAACAAATTTTCAGTGGAAAAATTTATTTGGAAAGAATAGGCCAAGTAACATGAAAAATGGGAGTAACACTTTTCTATCTTTGTATGATCTGTATTAATGTCCCTTGTGAACCTTTGATTTGATAATAAAATTATTAGAGTAGTTAAAAAACAAGCTGGCATATTTACCTGTCAACAATTTGTCTGTCTTTTTATTGCTGAGCTCTTGTTAATTTTGATGTCATGTTATACTTCCATTATGATCAGCTGAATATGGTTCTGGGTTATTTTCTATTGGTCCAGGCAGTTTCAGAAAGTGCTGAAAATCATTTGATTTAACATGTCATTTGAAATACAAAGTACTCAAGCATTACATTTAAGACTACTAGTACACTAGTTCTACAAACCAAATAATAATGCCTGTAGAAGGCATATATATATATATATATCTCGTCTAGCCTAAATTGCCTATCTTGACAAACCTTCTTAGAATTAAGCCTAGGCCCCTAGTGTAGCGTTCATTTAATTGTGGTAATGTATATAGTATATAAGAGCGTACAAACCGTCCGGTTAGAAGCCTAGCCTACCGTGGGCCTTGAAGCTGGAAGGGGTGGGCATAGAAGTTCCTACCTTGTTGGCGAATTCTGCAATACGAAATGGGAACTGAGAAGCGTATGAACTGAAGGAATGTTATGGAATAATGTGAGACAACTTGTAAAAATACCATAAAAGAAGACGGGGCAGTATCAGTAACATACACTACAGTACACAAATTGCTCCCGGTGTTTTGACAAATGGCGGATGTTAGCAGACGACGTGTCATATACGATAAAGGCGTAGATTACATAATATTTTATTGTTATTTGGCTAAATGAAAACAGATTTATTACCCTTGGAATAGTTAACATGAAATTAAATGTTATTTGGCCCCCCAAAAAACTAATTTACTTACCTTGGAACACACTTGACCGGTTAGAATTGACGTTTGTTTACATTTAACTGGGAGTGCCTTCGACAACAGTCTTATCCATTAGGCCTAGAAGTGTAGAAGACACATCCCATATTTTTTTCAAGTGTTTCGGGAAGGGAATGCACACTATACCACCCTTTAACCTGTGTGGATAGAAGCTATTGCTGTTACGATGTCCGTGTGAGCAATGTTTAGCCACGATTGACGATGTTACAACACACGACAAAATGTCAAAATTCACGAAGTTTGTCTAAGGTGAGAAAGCGTGATTTGTAATATGTTGCAAATTTGAAGATACCAATAATAATGTACATGTATATAGATATTCACACGATTATTCACACGATTGTACAGTGATCAGAATTTCAGCTTGTATGTATGCATTGGTTTGTGTATGAAATTCATTATTTCTGTTATTTACTATCAAATTATTTCTCAAAAGTAAATAGATATTCACACGATTCTTCGGTACTCAGAATTTCAGCTGGTATGTATGTACAGAGGCGTAGCCGTGAAATATATAATTGGGGGGGTCTGCAACCCTAACACCTAACCCATTTTTTAAAACCCCTAAAAAATATAAACAAACACCATGTGGCCATGCTGTCTACCAAGACACCGCGTGCAAAAGCATTATGGTTATGTTGCTGGCTGAGTGGGCGATATGTTTTTGGGTACCTACATGCGATTCACTCTGATAAGTTGCAGAAAAAGATTAACAAAATATTACTGACAGGCTAACTAGACACAATTTTATGGAACACAGGTACTTTTCACTTCACACATGTTTCTCGGATGATTATCTCTATGTTTTATTTTAGCAGTATAAACCATATCCTAATAACTGTTGTAAATAAATGGGAGTTTTGGCCTACTATGTAATTTTTTTATTTTTTTTGGGGGGGGGGGGGTCCAAGTATATTCTGACCCCCCCCCCCCCCGAAAAACAATTCGGGGGGGGGGGGGGGTCGAACACCCTCATGTGTGACGCCCATGTGTATGTATATGAAATTCATTATTTCTGTTATCTGCTATCATATTATCTGTTTCAATAAAATTAGTGAAAACAGATTTGTGTTGATCTTTTTATAACCATTAGTTGTGATTCCAAATTTAATCCATACAGATATCAAAGTGCCGCAAGTCCCAAAACATGTGCCAATCCGCATGTTATATAACGAGAATAAATATAAATTGTAAATTAAATAATACTTCACATTGCTCCGTATTCTGCAGACTACGGCGGTAATCGAAATCGCTGACAAATACTCCTAGTGTTGGCTGCCATCCATTATTGTTTAAAAACATTTCCCGATTCGAGAATATTAGTAAATAATTAATTAATAATTTATTCAGAATGTAGCGACGATACTCACTAACAATACTTACCAGAAATTTATATAGTTAACGATTTCACGCTCTACTGTGGTCGGGTCCAGTTACTGACACACATCAAAGATAACTGGTGGTTTCACTCTGATAGTGACGTAGACCTCAAATAGTGACGGTTTCTTAATTAGTCACGCTTTTGTCAATTTCTCACGCAAGCGCCTGACTAGTGATATGATCGGCTTAACTCACGTTTGTTTAATTACTCACGTTATTTTTACATACTGACACAAGTAAGGAATACTAACCAATTGACTTAAATACTCACCTTATGATTATTACTGACCATTTATAGGAATACTGGCGTACGGTACAAATACTGACGGGTTTAAGCGACTACTGACAACACGTATATTTCTCACGAATTTCCATGAATAGTAACCACAACGAACCCTTTCTACTTCATATATAGATATTCTAACACATAGGCCAGTTAGTCGATACTTAGAAATAGGTTCTACACACTATGCACCCTTCTGTGTTTGATGGCATATTGTCGGATTTATGATCATATTTTAAGTGGGGTTTATGTTTTTAAATAAATAAATTAACACGCTAAGAAATGTTGACGACTATGTCGATTGGAATAAGGTTAGATAATTGTTTTAGATGGTAGCGCGTGCTAGAGTCGAATGCGATTATTTAGCTGCAGTTGGTGTCCCTCGCTCGTTTTTGAGCGACGTTTACTACGAAATAAATTTCGGGATGTCAGATTTTTCCTTTTGTATATAAATCGAAACGGAGTATGAGATGAATGTTAGTCTTTGCTGAAAAATGTATCGAAATATGACCCGAAAAATACGGTAATTTGGGGGGAATTTGAAACAGGTACCGATCGACAGTAGTCGTCACACTTTCATTCTATGGTATTACGATGTCATGTAATTTTGTAAGAATATTATTGACATAAATTTTAATACCGTACAGGAATTAAGCATGAAAAATAACGAGGTGAAGATATTTTTTTATTACGTATAAATTTGAATATTTTGTTGACACGTGATTCTTAATTGTGGTTTGAAAACGTCTGCTTAAATAACGATAAGAGTTATGCCCCTTTATTTTCTGGAAAAAAATGTCCGACAAGAAAATTTTTGAAATCCATCACTGGTCTAGGGCAGTCTAAAACTGAAGTCATGGGTGGGGGTAGGGGGTGCAGAGTTATGAACATAAGGACGGCAATGTAAAATTCAGAGAGGGGGGTGGGGGTCTAGTGGTTTAATGCATGCAGTTGAAATCATAACGTCTCAAGGAGTAGGGTTGCCTGAGGGTTTTCTCTGGGTCCTTCTGCTTCCTCCCACTGCTAAAGTCATATAACCCCCATTTCTCTCTGTAAAATTCAGTAGGGAAATTTTGCACTTTTTTTTGTCAGATACTTAATTGGTCCTGCAGAATTGACAAGGGGAATCCCGATGGCAAAATCCTGAGAAACTTTCCTGAAGAAAATTTCCTGACTAACAGTGTCATTAATCAAAGTACATCCTGGTCTACAAGCTAGAGCTCTTCTTACTAATCCACTAGTTGATTATACATATTTTGCTAGAAAACACCACTGATTGCTTCCCATAGAACATAGAAATAGTTTTTGTGCTTTTAAGGTACACAATTGCTCAATATCACCCAAGGATTACATTCAAAAACAGAATTTAATCGAAATTTTCAAAATAAATCTGTTTATTAAAAAGTCAAGTTATGCAAGTAAGTCAACTCCAGATAAAATAAAAACAGTGATCTCTTTATAAATCCTAATCACCAGCTTATTTCTACTGAGTTAGAAAAGATAAATAAGGCATATCTTTGTCATGTTCCTGAAGCAACGACTGCGAGCTTGACAACATCTGGACGTTGCTAGATTACTTCACAATTCCCAAACTTATACCTACATTATCTACAGACACGTGAACAGTAGTGTCTAATCAGAGGTTGTGACATAGCGACCTCCACGGAAACCATGACATTGAATGAACCTTGAACTTTGAAACTCGATTATCACATGTAGACATTTTAGCTTAAAAGCGCGAGACTTGGTATTCACGACGATCGAGGACTTTGATAGGCTCACAACCTTGGCTTGTACCCAATCGAAATTAGTGCCGAAATATGCAGTGTATTACGTGAAGGCCTTGATAAGATGTACGTAGTTAAAGCGAGATCAAGCCTTCTATTGAAGATGATCTTGTGTAATCCTGTTGATTATTTCCAATTTGATTAAAATATTTCGTTTCGTTGTTTTATACTTTTGATGGCCTACACTACAAAAAGATCTGAATGGTTGTAGTTGAAGGTCTCGTAATAGAGTTCATACGAGTGGCTTTTGAGTTTGACCCTATGACGTCAGACATTTGATTAATAAATCAGCGTTGATGTTTCTAGTGGGTTACCTACAGTTCCGTGCACCTCTCGCCATAACAGCCTGATTCATTGGCTAATCCCTCACATCATCCAGAACGCGGGTTATATAACAACTCTTCCAGACCCTAGTGTAGTAAAGACACATAAAATAAAATTTTGAACTATAAAGAAACGAAACGAAATAGGATCTGTATTTTAATTAGATTGGATTATTTCCAACTAAAATTGGCTTCAGACCCACAATTAACAAAACAAAACTAGGCTTGAAATAGTTCAAATTAAAATGGATAAAGTATATAGAGCGTAACAGTTTCTGAAATTAATTGTACTTAATGTCCCAATTCAAACCATTTATAATTCATCACATGAATGTTTAATATTCATTAATTTCTACAAAATAAATTGTTAATTGTGCTAAATGTTCCAATTCAAACCATTTATAATTAATCACAATGACAGAAAAAAGAATCTTTAAAGATGGGTCCCCAGAAAAGTATTTATCGGGTGGTTATTTCCAATAAAAGTATGGTAATTTTGGTATATATGGAAAGTAGAGATATCCAATCTTACTAGAAAAATACTGGATTCCCCGAAAAACACTCACGGAGCGTATACAGGACAAAAATGTAAGGGTTCCCCTAATCAACAGCCCAACGATTAGGAATTTCTCCACGCGTGATGTCAAAGGTCACACGCGAACATTGAGCGCTTGATGTACAAGTTGATAAACTTTATGAAGAGTTAGACGTACAACACTTTGTGAGATAAAAATGACGGAAAAAGACGCGGGTAGTGGATAATCCGACAATTTAATTAGGATTCGATATTTGTAATAAATAGTAAGCGATTAAAGACAACATCGTCTTATGTATGCAATGAATTCTCCTCTGACTTCCAAGAGAGGTAAGTCACGTAACGTAAACATGACCTGGATAGATCGAATTTTTATAGCAGGACATTGCTTCGCAATTACAATGTTTGAGAAGGATTTGAAGCAAAGTTATAACAAATTAATTAGTTTGAATATGTTTTTAGTCCATATATACCATTAAATCACCCAGTTTATACGCGGGAACCCATCTTTAATATTCATTAATTTCTATAGAAGAAAATATTAACTGGGCTAAATCAATCCATTTATAATTATTCACGACAACGGAAAAGGTAATTTTAATATTCATTAATTTCTATAACAAAAGTACAGTTAACTCATTGCCATGAAATGAAATGGGTTTAATATCCCACCTTTTTGCACTGACTGGGCTAATGAAGACTGGCAGGCAGTATGTGGAATGAAGTCATGGTCCGATATATGCCAATAATGAAAGTAACCCAGATCTTTGGGAGATAGACCTATATTTTAAGTTTTGTCAAAATCGAATAAAAATTGTGACCTGTAGAGTGTCCACAAACAAATTGTGGACGTTCAGTT